TCACCGAGCAATGGCCGAATGAGCAATGGCCGAATGAGCAATGGCCGAATGCCGGCTGCACCCAGGAACGCTTGCTGGACCCTGCTGCTGCCGGTGCCCCAAGACTTTGGCCAGGTGCCAGCCCGCCCCAGAAAAAGTTTGTGAGATAGTGTAGCAGCAGCTTTTCAGGGATTATGGAAAGTCACAACACACATCTGGTACCAGGCTTCACCCTTAACGACCTTGTTACAGCACCAGCGAATGTGGCCATTTTCTGGGGTCTGCTGGGACCAGGTGGCTTCAACCGTCTCTACCAAATGTCCTTCCAGCAGTGGAACCGCTTTTCCCGGTGTGGCCCACGAGAACCTCCCGGACCTCACTCTGTTCCTGGGGATTCGCCCTTCCCACCAGAGCACCGCCAGGTAGGGAGCTGCGGAGTTGCAGCCTTTGCGCTCCCCTTGTTTACAGTCTTAATGGCATTTAAACCCTCTCCTTTCTCCTTTCTCCCTTTTTAGTTTAGTCCCTGCGGCTATTTCCAATTTTCCACTTTCTCTCCAGCTGCTTTTGGGGAGGGGTGCTTTTCCCATATTCTCCCCCCATCCCCAGTCTCCGTCCTCTCTCCGCCCGCAAAAGCAGTTCCGTACCTTCCACAGCTTCTCTCTCCCCAAGTTCACCACTACGCGCCATGTACCTGCTGACTTCTGTGGTTCAGGTTGTGCAGATTGTTGTGTTAATCCTCCAATCAGTTTTCTAAGTGTGTAGGATGGTTTTGTGTTGGTCTGGCTGTATTTCACGGACGTGAGACACCCAAAAAAATTTCCATGCTGTTCCACCATCTTGGTTCCTCCTCATAAAAGATTTTTTTATTGACATATGCTTTCATTTCTCTTGGGTCAATATCTGGGAGTAGAATGGCTGGATCATATGGTAAGTGTATATTTGACTTTGTTAAAGCAATTTGTTCTTGTAGTTTTTTTTGTAGATTCCCTTGCATTTTCTGCTCAGTTATGCTGTCTGTTAATGAAGATAAGTTCACTTCTTCCTTTCCAAACTGTATGTCTTTTGTTTCTTCCACATGCCTTATTACATTTGCGAACCTCTAATTCAATATTAAATACAAGTGGTGAGAGCCAAACTTTTTCCCTTATTTCCAAAACAAGGAGAAAGCATTTGGCTTTCACCATCAAGTATGACATTTGATGGAGGTATCTTGCTGAACCCCTTTTTTAAGTTGAGGAAATTCCCATCAGTTCCCAATTCACTGGGAGTTTCAATCAGGAATGGATCTAAATTTGGTCAAATGCTTTTTCTGTATTTAATGAGATTACCCTCATAAAAAAAGCTTGTCAATCTCTTAGGATACGTTATTGATAAATTGTCACGACAAAATATTAAGGAAAATATTACTCTCCCATTTTGTAAATAGTGGAATGAAGTTCAAAAGTATCAAGAAAGTTCATGGCAGAGCTAACAGTTTTGAACACAGAAGTCTAGCAAAAGCCTGTTCGGTGTTATTGCCACTATACATTGCTTTCAGAGAAATCTGAAAGACTAGAGGGTGGCAAAATGACTTCTTCCCAAACCTTTCAAATATTTTAAGACAGTCTTTAATAAGTTATTTAGGCAAGTGAAACTAATAAAGCAAATTAAATAATTGCAGGTTTGGCTCTTTTACCAAAAGAGGAAAGAAAATCTTTTATAAAGGATACTCAAACTGGTGTTCAGGAGCTGACCCCTGTATAGGGGCCTCACCATTCCATTCAGAGCGATTATTAGATACCTGCTTTAAGCAGTGCACCGTAGTAGGCGTGACAAACTCTTCTAGAGTTTTGTGAACCACTGGGATACTGGAGTTTCATTCATGACTAGTGATTACTCTCTCTCTGGTCCTTGAAACTTACTTGTGATAATGCAGTCTAAGGGCATAGTTGTTCCAATTAACCAATATAAATGTTTCTAAATTTTTTTATTTTAAATGTTTTTTTTTTATTTTTGAGAGAGAGAACATATGGGGGGTGGGTGCAGAGAGAGATGGGGACAGAGGATCCAAAGCAGGCTCCGCACTGACAGCAGAGAGCCCAATGAGGGGCTCGAACTCACGAACTGTGAGATCATGACCTGAGACGAAGTCAGACACTCAAACTGACTGAGCCACCCAGACACACCATCTCTCAAAAAATTTCAAATAAAATTGCCTTATGATCCAGAAATTCCACTTCTGGTATACATTCAAAAATTGGAAGAATTTCACTATAAACCCCAAACATTGAGACATTTATAAATTCCTGTTTCCACCAAAAGGAAAGTTTTGCTTTGGAAGACCCAAAGGTGCAGCAAAAGATCATATGGATAAAGAAAATGTGGTATGACATACACTGAAATATTATTCAACTTAAAAAAGGATAGAAATTCTGACACATGTTGCAACATGGGTGAACCTTGAAGACATTATGTAAAATGAAAGTCACATAATGACCAATACTGCATAATTCCACTTCTAGGAGGTGTCCAAAATAGTCAAACTCATGGAAAGAGAAAGTAGAATGGTAGCTCCCAAGGACTGTAGGGATGGAGCTATTGTTTAATGAGTACAAATATTCAGTTTTTCAAGATGAAAAGATTTCTGGAAATGGATAGGGTGCTTGTTGAACAACAATGTAAATGTATTTCATACCACTGAATTGTACACTTAAAAATTGTTAAACTGGTAAAAATGTATGTTACAATGGTAAAATTCTATAATTAAAAATTTTTAAAGAGATTCTTGTTAAGATTTCTACCCTACCCATCTGCTTTCCACGCAAATGTAAAAGAGTGTTACAATGCAAGACCGATTATCAACCATCCATTACCATTCGAATGTGAAGGCACTGGGGAAATGAGGTTAGAGGTGGAAGGAGGAAAATGGAGAGAAGGAGTGGTGTTGGACTGTGGAACATTGATCAAACAAAGAGGGCTCAGAAGTGTGCAATCTGAGCCACGTGCTGGGAAAAATGCCTTTGAAAAAGTTTTGAAGTAAAGGGTGGGAACAGACAAAGAGGATAATTCACACCCTGCTACTTCACAGGGTGAAGAGCCTAAGAGCCACTAATCATGATCATTTGCAGATAACAGTGTTGGGAAGCAGGTAAACCTCCAGAATGCAAATCGAGGACATAAATGCTAGGCGTGTTAATAACATGGGACGAGCAATAGTACAGACATATGTCACAGAGTAGGCACCTTGGAAAATACATGTAAGTACAGTTGACTCACAGTAAACAAACCTAATTAAACCACGTCATTAAGCAGAATAAACCAGCGTGACATAAAACAAAAAAAGGAAAACCACAGAAACATTCCATGGCCTTCCATATTCTAAATAATGGCTGTAACATAATATATATTCGAGATATACTTACTGAATAAAATTCACCTGAAAATCCAACAATTCACACACATTTTTACTGATTTTTGAGTCAAATGTTTCCGAATTTACTTAGCCAATTCTCACAGCTGAATCTAATTGCAAAATGGCAAATTGTTTATCGTGGCTTTTCTAGTTTTCAATAAACCCTTTCAACACAAATTTTCAGGGGTAAGGATGTTTTTGATGAATGATAATTCTTATCTAGAGAGGTATTTTCTTAGAGTCAGGTTTTCCCTCTAACCCTCCATCTGAGCTGCCCCAGCCTTAGCCACTTCCTGTGTAGGATGGAATTCCCTGCCTTGATCCCTACAACAGGTGGATGTATCAACAAGAGCTCTGGGGTTTGGGTACACCTCCCTCCAGCTTGCCTCTCACTGTGGGCTCCTGAGTGCACAGAAATACACTGCAGAGTCCTCCAGCTGTGAAGCTGAGATGACAAGATGGATGGATTTTCTTGCCTTCTGGAAATTCAATGAGTAGCGACCTTCTGTGGCATTTTGTTGGTTGTGAGAATCTTGACGAACAAGGAAAATCATCTCCCCGCGGCTGGGCTGCTTGTACCACAATAGACTATAATTTGGATCGCTGGTGTCATATGTGCATTCCAGGATGACAGCCTCCTTCTCCTGTACTAACATCGCTGGTGGGGCTTGAGTTACCTTTTGGGAAATACTGGATCCTGAAGAAAAAAACATGGGATCAGAGTTTCAGAATAAGTCATCTGGCACAAGGAAATTGTGTTTTACACACTATTATCCCTCCCTTCCAAGGTACCCACAAGACACCACTTATGTCCCCTGTTTTTAGGTCATACAGGAGGAACATTACAATGGGGGCCATCCTTACCCAGCCACATTGAAGCCATTACCACCTTCAGAAGGCTGGACAGAAACATGTTTGAGTTTTTCCACTAGATGGGAAATGTCTTCTTCAATTTCAGAGCTCGGCACCGTGAGGGGAGCCTGCCAGGGTGAAGGAAGGATGGCTGGGTATGTGCTGCTGTTGCCCCAGAACAGGAAATAGAGGTTTCCTGTAGCAAGTTGTGTGGGTCATGTCACACTTCTCTCTGTACCAGCTGAGAGTCTCATTATCCAGACTTCTTTTTGCTTTCAGTGACTCTAATGTGTAAAGTCACATCTGAAAATCAATGAGTAAAATTTTATATTGAAATGAGGATTGGTGGTTTAACTACAATATGTTCATTCATTGCATCTGTGATGAAAGTGGGTGGGAGGCACTTACTTAAAAATATGACAACTAAGGGTCACTTTCGGAACACATATACTAAAATTAGAATAATACAGAGAAAATTAGCATGGTCTGTGTGCAAGAATGATGTGAAAATTCATGAAGTATTCTATATTTTTAAAAATACTACATGTAATGTATTATGGAAACAGCATAAGATATAAGAATCATGAAAAAAGATGTAAGAATCGTGTATGCTCACACTATGTTATTTCACGTAAGATAGAAATAAATCACTTTATGATAAGAAGGCAAAATGTTTAGACTAACTGTAGCTCTTTCAATCTACCTATTAGTATGCCAGTATTCTTCCTCACTGTCAATGTCTGTTCCGATGCCTTTCTTGGGGCCAAAGGCTGGAAAATCTAATCACTTTTTGCTGAAAGGTTTAGACTGCAGCCCTCAGATAATAGATCCTGTCGCCGAGGTCTCCTTCTTACATTGTTTAGTTTCAACAGCTCAGCTCTGTTTCAGAAAGGCCAGAATAAACATCAGAGTTTGTTCATTAATTATCAAATATTTAAATTTATATTTTTCTCATTACCTCAGTTGAACCACAGTAAGCCCCTGTACTTTGTATGCTCAGTTCTGAAAAGAATATACCCTAGGTGACACCATACACCTCCACAAGACTATTGACCATACGATGATTGATTGTGATAAGACTTTCTCTGTGTGCACAGATTAAAAGTAAGGTTGTGTCCTAAGGATATTTTTCAACATCATGGCAAACAGCAAAGATCCATTGCCTCTTACTGTTGACTTCCTGATACAGTAGCAAAGACTTAACATCCTTGTCTCAAAATCATTATAGCTTCAGCTAAATTGGTCGAAGCATCTTCAGAATTTGTACTGCAGTCTCCATGAAATATGATAGAACCACATAGAGTACAACTGTCAGGCTCTCTAAGTGATAGACTATAACTATCTATAAACACCTAATGTTTTTCTACCACTGGCAGAGTAAATGTGAAATATTATTAATTTCTACTCCTATTACTCAACTCTAACACATTTCTCAATGAAGGGAGCCTCATGATTGCACTTATGTCATTCAAGAAGTGTCCATATCCAGGGTAAATCTGTCAGACACTCTGAGACCAGATTCTGAATTAATAGAATTTTAATAATCTTATCTTAAACATTGAAAGAGACAATACCAGACTGGTCATGCAATTACCACTCCAGAATCCTTTATAAAGTTCAATCACTTAGCAGAAGCAACATTAATTCAAGTGGCTGAACTAATGGATATCTTTTGGGCATGTCAATTTCCAAAAAAAAATTATGTAGTCAGTGTCAGTCAATATGCTTTTAAAGTATTCACACCTTCCAAACACTGTAAAGACAGTGAGATTCCTTAACTTCCTTTTATTGACCCTTTCACATAGCTCATGTATCTTATAAGAAAGGAACAGCAAATACATGAATTATTGATGTCTTCGTGTTGTTAAAAAGAAATTTTATCATAATGACGAAAGATCACGATACAAAAGACACTGTAGAAGCTAGGGAAAAATGCCTGAGCAGGCCATCATGCTACACATACGTTTCCAACTAAGGTCCTTATATTAGCACCTCTTTTTTTTTTTTTTAATTTTTTAATGTT